TCTTGGAAAACATTCCGAGGTATAGAGAAGATGGACCACCATACTGGCTAATATTTGTCGGTCAAAACACAAGATACTGTGAAGCCATACCATTATGGTCCAAAAATATTTTAGATGTGAAAACTGCTTTGACAATATTCGTTGACAAATACCATCCAACAAAACTGACATCTGACTGTGAAAGTTCTTTCAAATCAGACGATATTAAAAACTATCTGCGTTCAAAAAATGTAAACCAATATTTCATTGTCGACCAAAACCATTCTGCTCTTGGTGTCATTGACAGTTGTATAAAAATCTTAAGAGACTTAAACCAACCACAAGGTGGTGAGCAAATGAAATGTCATATGACGACAAGTATAGACACTTCTCCATGGCAAAGATGAGACAAGTTTTAAATATTTACAATAGCCGTAAACAAAAAGGTTTGGGAAACCACTCCCCCGAAGAAATGAAAAACAACCCGACTTAGAGAAAGACTATATATTTAATAGTTTAGTCAAAAGAGACAAACAAGAAAGAATGCCAGGCTTCAAACTTAAGAAAGGTGACAAAGTAAAAATAGAAATACCTAAACGCGACCCATATGAAAATACTATTGACTATGACAACAATGGGAACTCGACAGGTACTCACATTCGTGTTCGTAAAAATAGAAGAAAGTATACAAGAGAATATTATGAAGTTTTAGGCAAACATGGCAAAATGTACAGACTGCAAGCAGAAGATAAAACTACTATTGTCAGACCTCGTTTCAAACTTGTAAGTTCAAGGTGGTATACTTTCAAAGACAGTTCCTAACAAATATAAGACAACTCCTGACGAATATGCTAAAGAAGTTGAAAATGACGACTAAGCAATTCTATACCATGCACAAACTGTCATGTAAGGTGGCATGTATTTTTTACCTAGTCCTGTAGATGTTGTTGTAAAAGTATGTTGGTGGTTTCCTCCTGGTTCAGTTTGTCGAAAAGTCTTTTTTGCTGAATGGTTATAATCTGGAGATAAAACGTCATAGCCAGCTTCATACTCTGAGTTGTATAATGGGTGGTCTCTTAATGAGTGGCTATGGTCGCCAGAAAAGTTTGTTGTACCAGAATGACTATGTGGTGGCAAGTTGTCGACAGATATCGTTTTACTTCCACCTGTTTTCTTTGGAGTGTGTGCACAATACAAAAAACTTTCGAGTATTTGAGTCCAAGTTCCAAAACCAAGTACTACTTCTGGTCTGGTAGAGTTCATTGACGTATAAATAGAACCAACGGGTAAATGGTTTGAAGTATTTCTGTCTTTAATGTTTGAAGCTCTTTTTGTCTGCTTTCTTGTCATATAAATCTTGAGCAGTGAATTTAATATTATGTTCATCCTCCATGACATAAACATCTCTACATCTAATGTTCTCATCGTTGTTATGTCGTCATCCGATGTTAAACCTTGTGGAAAGTTAGGAGGTTTACAATATATTGCATCCCCACCAGTTTCTTCAACCGTTCCTTCAATATTTTCTATACCAACAGTTGCGAAGAAGCTATGTGTATGTCCAACGTCACTTTTCCTGTTTAAGGTTTCTTGTAAGTTTGTAATATTTGCAATGGTATGTGTATGTCCAACGTCACTTTTCCTGTTTAAGGTTTCTTGTAAGTTTGTAATATTTGCAATGGTATGTGTATGGTTCTTATCCGCTTTAAGGTCTAAACATCCTGAAACCCACCCTGTATCGGCTTTACCTTTTAAAATCTTTGTTGTCCGTTCATGGTACCATTCAACCCTTTCTATAATTTTTTCATCTTTTTCATTCACATATTCCTTATCTGCCTTCTTCACTAACGCACTAGCCACACGTGCTAACTCATCGTCAACATACTCTTTGTCAGCTTTGTTGTTAACATCTGCCTTCAAAAGAAGTTCATCTATAGGTTTCTCGTTTAAAGTTCTTTTTGTTGGATTTATACAAACAGTATGGTTCTTACTGTCTTGAAACAGAAACTCATCTGTCATTGGGTTTAATGTCAGTTTTAAGTTTCCTTCTTTCAATGACTCAGATATCTTAGAATAGTTTGAAAAGTTTGTTGTGTTCTTATTTAGAGCTTGTATAATGAGTTGTCGGTTGTGTTGTATTTCTCTCATAGACGCTGTTTCATTTGACATTTTTATTCTAGATAAAATATGCTTCAATAGAAAAAGAAAATTCAAGAGTTGCTACAACTAAACCATTAGATGAACTTTTTACTAATGTCGGTCAAAAGTTTGAGACAGAGACCGAAAGCATGAAGGCTATCGTTTTGACTACCCATTAAGATGGCTAAGAGACCCATCTGTCACAAAGCTATTGGCTTTCGTAGAATGAAGTTTGTGTCTGTAGAAGATAAAAGTTTTCCATTTATTGTAAGGTTTCATATAGATTATATATCTGAAGGGAAACGAAAAATGTGGGAGAAATTGAGCTAATACAAGTTGACCTTTCATCTTCTCTACAGACTGCGTTTAAAAAATATAGAAGATAAAATAAATTCATGTTATGCAAAATATGCTGATGAATATGCAAATACCGAGAGCACACTTTATGTGAGAATTGTATATGACAAACAAAATTCACAAGTGTCATTTCAAATCTACGAAGACAATCCAAAGAAAGACGAACAAATATATACAGAATTCACTGCAATGTCATTGGTATTATTTGCAAAGAATGTTAAATCAGAAAGTCGAACTTCCTTTAGCAAATATTTACAGTCGATATGCAAGAGATGAACCATATTTATTTAAAGATGTTTCGACCCAGCTGCTATTATTGTTCATGCTTCATTTTCTGGCGCCCAAAACTCTTTCTTATGCTTGGCAAATGACTTTTACGAAAAACCTACAAAGTTATATGAACACCAAGTGGAAGTATTTCAGACTTTCAAGTATGGTTTACTACAGATGGAAGAAAAAGAATAGTTCCATTATACCATGCGTTTTACTTAGAACTTAGTTTCATATACAACTACTATCGAACGGTAAAAATATAATTTTTTTAATACGGTTGAGGTGTTGGATTTGGTTGCCAACTAGACTGTGGTGCAGGTTCAGGCTGTGTATAACAGGAGCTTGCTCTTCTGGTTAGGTCTTTAGGTATAATACCAACAAACTGACCTACCTTTTACCAATATTTTTGACACCGTTCCAAATTCCTCTTCCTACGGTTTTTATTCCATTCCATATACCTCTTCCAACATTTCGAAAGAAGTTTCCTATCTTACTGAAGAAACCCATTTTACTATATGTAAAAATCTAATGTCCGCCTAGTCTCTTACGTTTCCTGTGAGTTCCATAGCATTCTTTAACTGGAGCTCATACATTCTGTTTTTCTCTGGTAGAAAACATATTCTGGGTCAACTCCTGTGTTCGCGTCATCTGCATAAATTGTTTATATCCCACTTCAGGGTTTGTATAAAACTCTTTCCATCTCATATTTGCATACCATGGTGGCAAACCTAACGCAGCGTCATTTGACATGGCAGTTTGCATTTGTACATCTGTTGGCACTTGACCATAGTTTGCCATTGCAGTTTGTATTCTAATTCATTTGGAATATTCTCTGGGTTTGGTTGTCCAGGTTGCTGTGCATTCGCTAAGTTCTGTGCGTCCATTTAATATTAGATAAAAATATCTCTTACGAGTACATATGCTGAACATTTGCAGGCATTGGTTCATCTTCATATTCTCTATATCTTTCTGCCACGTCAAATAAGTAAATGACACAATGGAAAAAACCTAAAACAAGTAGTCCTATTTCAAACCACATTTACTTACTAGTAAAATTTCTTTGTTATGACACTTTCTCCAGTTTATAGGACCTCTCTCATATTCTATCTTATCGTATCTAAACTCATAGTCATGTATGTCCTCTAACCATCTCATGACACTTTCCAAACCACTTTTATCGGATGTAAAGTAAAAGCATGGATGGTTATGTAAAACGTCTAAAGTTTCTAAAGAGTCCTCAAAGTCCAGTCTACTTGGTATTGAAAATCCCATGTGTTATAGAACGGCGGGTCCACTATAAAGAAAACATTTTCCTTGTCTTTATATTTTTCATACAACTCTGTCCAATGACATCTCACAAACTCTATACCCTCAATATATTTTTCTATGTTCTCTTTGAAAACATTTGTATAGTTAAGATATAAAACTTTTGACATAAGTGTTTCAATGTCATGAACTCTTATAGCACCACTATATAATAGTCTAGCAGATATACTATCCCAGTCAATATACTCTGCCTTTTTCAAAACCTCTCTGACAGTATTTTTCTTATCTAATGGTATACGTTCCATCTTACCTATAGGTATCTTTTCTTTTAACTCTTTCAATATTTTGTTTGTGTCTGGTATATGTTTGAGACGGTTCATATAGTTGTCGAAGTCATTGCATATAATCTTTGAGTCAGGAAATATTGTATGGCACAAATGAGATATATAGAAACTTCCACCGAACAAGTCTACAAATGTTAGACCATTCGGTAGTTTCTTAAGTTCTCTCAATATAATATCTTTACATCTACTCTTATTTCCAAAGAAGGGTAACGGTGGTTTTGTAAAATTCATTTTATATATATAATAAAAATGTTTTTTCCTGAAAAGTGACAGAAAAGTGACAAAACATGTACGAAGAAGTCTTGAAAATTCAAGAGGGTAGAAAAGAGGTTAGAAAAGAGGTTATATCTAACCTTCTACCCTAAACATTATTTTTGTCTGATTTTACGAAGAAGTCTTGACAAAACATGAAAACATATATAATTTGTGAAAAGCTCCTGGAAGACCCGTATATAAGAACTTCATTTATACTAAACATCTTCGGGGCTAGAGGGCACGAAGTGCCTGGAAGCCCCACTACCTTTTTTTTTTTTTTTTTTTTTTTTTTTTTTTTTAATTTAGTTTTATAATTTTCTGTTTTTCAATCAAACCTAAACCATTGAAATGTTTTGAAAGAAGCTCAGAATTTTTATCCTACTTTATTTAAACTATACCTTTATTCTTGATTTTTTCATACATTTCATCAATTGTCAGATATGAAATTTCAACTCCTGTCAGACGATTATTATTTTCAGAACTCTTTTCAATTATTAAGGGCTTTTTTTGATTACTCCAGGTATTAGTTTTTTCATCAAAGAAAACCCTTCCTTCACTTTTTAACACAATTAAACATGCTCTAACTCTTCTCTCTAGAGGTAAACACTTAAATAATCCGGCTTTGTCTTTAAATTTGCTGAGTTGTAATGCGATATCTTCGAGTTTTACATCGCCTTCGACTGATTTCATGTAATCTTCTACATACCTTTCAAATGTATCTTTGTGCATTATGTAAGATTCGTTGATAACGTCGGGTTCTGATTCAATTGGAGCCTCGATTTCTGATGAGGTTTTTTCATCTTCTTCTGAGCTTTCATCGATCATCGTGTTCCTGAATAGTGTTCTTTTTGGAGGGTTCTTTCTAGGGCTGGAATTAATTATCCAAGTGTCAGGCAATTCAGGGTGTTTCAAAAACAAATGTCTTGCCTTTTTTCGCACTGAGAGATTTAAACGTATAACACGGATAGATGGTTCGGATATAAATGCTCTTGGAGTATATTTTACTATAATATCCCACTTTTTAACAACATAATCTAATAATTGTTGCTCTGTAGCGTACCCATTGTTTTCATTAATACATGCAATGAGAGCTTTCTGAAATGGGGATGATTTTTTGCCACAACCTTTCTTTGAGTCCTCGAAGGGGTGTAATGTGTTCATAAATTCTTCATCACCAATGAACAACTTTTTCCGTTCAGCATAGTATAATTTTTCCATCTTTTCCTGTTCCTTCCTCTTGGTTAGAGCCGCTGCGGTGATGGCATGAGGCTTCCTTCCCCTTATCATAAACTGTTATCAAATTAATTGAACTTTAATTCAATTCAAAATCACCGACTATAATTAAAGATCATTAAATTTCATTGAATAACTTTTTCCCTCTGCAGATACTTTTTAAAATGGATAACTTTTTAATTCAATTACAATAATTTGAATATAATCATTGTTAAAAAAAATTACGATGCAATATCGTCATATTTCGGATCATTATGATTATAAATTTGAGTTTCTTTCAAAACAATAAATTGAATATTTGCTTGCGTCCTTCTCCAAACATCATTTACTGATATTTTTTGAATTGCCAAAATCCCAAATTCTCGATTGGTTGACAATTAGTGGTTAAGTTCAGAATTTGGAATTTGGTATTATAAAGCTATCATAGAATTCTAGCTTTTTAAAGAGAAATCGTCATTTTCTGATTCAATTTCGGATTGATTTTGAAAATCAATAGAACAGTTTGCTTTCCTCTTGAAATGAATTATTGGCTATAGAAATGAGAGAACATCATATCATTTTTATGGGTTTTTGATAATAATATACAGGTCATATCTTTTCATGCAATAAATAGCATTGGCAACTTAAAACTCTTAGGCATACACTTATTTATACTCCTTTCGAAGTGCAGATATTGAAATCCAAAGGTGTTTCAGACTTAATCAAGCAATCTTTCTTAATTTTTTGTATTATTCATAGATTAAATGAAGAAAATCCATTAATTACTTACATATATTACAATGGTTCAGTCCAAACTATAATAACACCAAGTTAATTAAAATTTTCAAATAATGATGCCTTATTACGTATAAGTATCATATTTCCATATAACTATCAGCCATGAACATATGACTTTAATTTCCTTCTTTCTTGCAAATAAATTGGAAATTTCAAGTTCAATAACAAAGCATTTGGCAAACATTCTGAATTAATGGATAGCAGATTCAGAAAATGTGTCAATTCCAAGTCTATTTTACATGGAAATGAGTGGAGCTTCGTCCAAATGATAGATTATAATAAATGGGACAAAATTTCTGTCATTTCGAGAGACTATGTGGTACTGATAAATAATTAGTATTACATGGTCTCCAATTCCTATCCTGAAGTCATAAAAGTGGACGTTCTCAATATTTGCCATGTAAAGTCCTCTTCTTCGTTATTTAGAGAAATAACGTTCTAAATGGATCTTCGTCCACCACAGACAGTTCTTTCATTCAAGTCTCACCTTGTTAGCAACAATCGTGAAGACATTCTGAGACAATTCATTGTCAACTACTTTGTTGATGATGATAAATTCTCCGTTTTTGAAAAAGTCGTTCCAAATAGCGGCTTCCCAGGAGGAAACTTCATTTCACGCGCAAAGTTTATCAACCCAGCAACTGGCCAAAAGTATAAAACAGAAGAACTTTACATCGGTGCTACAGTTGTCTTAAATTCTTGGACATTCCAACTTGATGAAGCCACAGAGGGTACTCTTCGCGCTATGGAAGCAAATTCAGATCAGTATCCAAAATCAGACCTTTCTCAGACTATCACATCTAAATTCTCGTTACTTAAAGGCCAAAAATCAGAACTTGAGCAAAAGTTCAAAGCTCGTGATAAACAAGGTCGCGGCCGCGTCACTTGGGTTGTTGCTCGAAGTATCTTCGATGAACACGACTTATTTACGGATCCTCAAGAGCGCTTAACATTATTGCGCAGATTCCAATTTGCTGATGTCGAACAATTCAAGTATAACGAATTCCTACAAGTATTCTAATAAATTACGTGTTAAATAAACTTCTTTTATCTCGTTTCCACAGTTTTTGCAATTGCATGCATTACATCATAATCATGAATCATGTGTTTCAATTTATTATAATTATGAATATAAAATTACATTTTGCTTAACTTGGAAGGCATTTCTATTTAAATAAACGTAAAATGGCCTATAGATGTAAATGGTTTAATTCTATTGAAATTGTAGCGTTTTAAAACTACAATGTGTAAGAAGTAAATTAATGAAAGACAAGCCGTGATATGATTATTTTCATAACAAAGGGTGACCATAAAACTATCTTTATCACAATCAGCTATCATTCTATAAAAGAGAGAGTAACTCAAAATCACCCTACTTTATTCACTTTTTTTGATGTGATAAAACCGTTTTTTCTACTTTGTGACATACTCTAACTCATGAAATAGCTTTCACGATAAAATAAACCAATTTATCCTCTTTAGATTTATTATTTTATAGGGGTATTGAATGATATATCATAGTATTATACAAAACATAAAAGGGGGGAACTTATTTTTGACCAAAAAAGTGGCACCTGAGTATATTGTTTCAGCTTTATCTGATCATTGAAACGGAATTGATCCACGTTATTAGTATGAAACAATGATATACTAGGGACTAAAGAATGTTAATATTACAAACACCCAATTATTTGATGTTCAAAACATACAAGTTTTTTTTTATCAAAAAAAAATTAAATATATATTCTATGTATTTACACTTTGGATGAAAGTTCTAAATATTCTTCTTCTACTCTTTGCTGAAGATGACTGGCTTATTCGCAATTTCAGTTGTTCAAAAGCCTCTTTCGACACTCCAGGCAAAGTAGAGAAAATCGACACATTCATTTCACCAGAAATAGTCAAGAACTTATACAATATCTCTGCGATCTTTTCATAAGAAGGCTGATCTTTCTTCATCAAAAGTGCTGTCCACAAATCGAGCAAAACTTCGAAATCCTTTTTAGAAATTGCCGCAACAACACTCGAGAAAACACCCAAATCATTAATAAGCAGACAACATCTCAACACTTGTGTTGCCTGTTTATTTGATATCATCTCACACAACTCGCAAAGCATCATCGCAACTTTCTTTTTCACTGTTTGTCCGTTCGGACTCAAATCCATGACGACAAACATCTCCTGGAAATAGGAACAGACTTCGCTCGCAGTGTTACTGACTATCTCACTGTTAACACTGTATAAGCCTGTCAATAGTGGAACACCGATTTTTTTCAGCCAAACAACAGAACATGTTTTGTAAACGGTCGGACTTCTCAAATCTTTCAGGGCATTGACTAATGACAGAGGAACAAGTTTCAACATGTGATTCAGACTGGCTGCAAGTTGGGTTACGGCCCCAATTGCTTGGCCAACGATCGCTTCCTTATTATTATTATCTGATACGCGAACTAAACAATTCGAACACTCTACGAGTAAAGAACAAAGCTTCTTAACATCTACACCGCACTCGCTGACGTTCAAACTGGCAATAATAGAAAGGGATCTGTTGACTTCTGAAGATAATCGCTTCAGATGCTGCGGATCGTGAGGATCGAATAAAGTAGTTACCCATTCCAGCTCGGCTATTGCTTTTTCAATGGTCGTATCGGCGGAATTCGGAGTTTGGTCGACAAATTTTGCAATAATTTTGTTGGCAGGAAGGTAAACTGGGTGTTTTGCGGGTATACTTTGCAATTTCTCTAACGGGAGTGTGATATTTTTGAACCGATCTGTAAATAACATCACGTATTGAGAGAAATTTTCTAAACAAACTGGTTTCGCTTCAATTAATAAGTCAATTAATTCCTGGAAGAAGTCGTCTTCTTTGTATTCCGTAAAAACCATGAACGGAATAATTTTACTTAAAAATTGGCAAATTTTGGATTGAACTTTAGATTCGTAATAATTTAGCGACGAAAGGAGGTCTATTGTTATCTTTACGCATAATTGGCCAATCTGCTTCGAAATTGTCTTCTCTGTGACAAAAAGAAAAGTAACTGTTTTTAACATGACAGTAAACGCTCGGATGTGACTTTTGTCGCTGGTTATGGCTCTGAAAAGTATCGGAATTATATCGTCGAAGTCATAATTCTCTGTTATGCACTTAATTACCTCATTTAACTGTTGCGTGAGTTGCTGAGAGGTCCAGGAGTCATCGAATCGCGCGCCAGGTAATTTGTCCATTGGATGAATGAGTTGCGCCATGCAAACATCAAAAATTTTCAATCTTTCGTCTTTACAATTCCTCAAAAAGTCTTTTGAAGAGCAGATCTGCGATGATTTGAATATATTACATAGGAACGTGCAAGTTTCTAACAGAACTGAGGGAGAAATTGACTCTAATATGTCGGCACAAATTAATAAGAGGTCAGAAAGGTCTTTCGGATTAACTTTCTGCATGAGAGTAGGTATTAGTCGTAAACGAATATGAAATGATTGTAGTAAAGCGTTGAAATTTTCGGAATCTGTATTTTTGTCAAAAACAAATAAACCAATGAAATTATTAATAAAAGATGGCATGGTTTCTAATAAGCGAGTGATAAATGATGGTGGACATTGCTCATTTTCTAATAAAGTCTCAAATATTGGGACAATTGAATTATCAATATATTTCCATAGAAGAGGTATCAATTCGTAGTATACTTGAACAATATCTTCATTTGCTAAATTCTTTTCGATGACTGGTGGAGCATTTTGATGAATTTGTGCGAGCAAGTATAAATCCATGTTAAATTCGGGTGTTCCTATTTGTGCCTTCCTTAGTGGCTCAAATAACAGCTTGTATATAAGATTTGGGATTTGAACATCGTTAAAAAATCGAAAAACTTCGTATCTTGATCTTGGAAATTCCCTTGAGAATATAAATGATACCATTTCGGAAAACACATGTAATACAAACTGAGGATTCTTGTCTATGTATGTGCTAAAGAAATTTTGAATAATTTCATTTGTTGCCACGTAAGCGAGATAAGAAGCGGCGGCACGAGATACTGTAGGCAATATGGTATCTGATTCTAGGTCTTTTTCTTTTTCAAATGGAAAAGCTGAAGCTAAATTAATTTTCAGCGGAATTGACATCTCATTGAGTCTATCTTTTATTAGATATGTGATGGTTGTGAAACCAAATATTCGCTCATTGATATTTGATGAAGGGTCCGTGAGAGTTAAAAAAGTTGCAAAATCGAATTTTAGAGGTCTTTGAAAATCTCGACATGTGTTTAGATTTTTCTCTCTAATCTGTGGATCTGCATCATTGAGGCCATGAATTGCAGCTCGCAAGCTGGCCAATTGCTGATTATCCATAGAGATTTTGCTCAGTGTCACTTTTTTGATTAAAAATAAAAAAAAATTTTTGTGCTTTCCTAATATGAGTATTAGTATTGATAATTCATATTTATAAGTTCTGAGCTGCCTATCATATCAATCACAGAAGTATTATTCCATTCCTTCATGTCGAAATCAGAGGATTTGGGGTGTCTCAATTTTACAAAAATTTATCCCAGTCATTTTTATAAAATTAAAACCCACCTGATCCTCTTCGATATCAATCTCCAAAAGAAAAAATTCAAAAGACGATTATTTTTTGAGGAAAATGTATCTTCCCTTGTTTAAGGCTGCACTTACGCCCATCTGACTCTAATTCAAATTTTTGACAACTGGCATGAAGCGCTATTGAAAACTAACCTTAAACATCTGAATTGAAGGCTATGTCATAGGGACGTAAGTGCACCCTTAAGGGGTATTTTATATGGTAAAGAAATTGCAGAAGTTATCATTTCACATGGTACGATAAAATAGAATAAAGTTGGAGAAATAGCACTTCAAGTTGCAGTATGTGAAAATAATACAGAAATTTTCAAACAATGCCAATGATTTATTCACCAAAGTAACGCGCTACAACAACAAAAAAATTCATCAACTAAAATCTGTTATGTTAACCTAATAAATTATGTTTGAAATAAAATTTAATCGAAGTTTGCACCATGTGAAATAAGAAGATCTACTATTTCTTTATTTTTTGAAGATAGTGCATAAAAAAGAGCTGTTAATCCATCATTTGTTTTTTCATGAATATTTGCACCATTCAAAATAAGAAATTCGACTATTTCTTTATAGTTCCAAATGGCTGCAGTATGAAGTGCTGTTGCACCAAAATCATCTTTTTCGTTAATATTTGCACCACATGAAATAAGGATTTCGATGAAATCTTTTCTATTTTTCTTTGTTGCAATATGAAGAGCAGTGTATCCATCTTTATTTTTGTTATTGAGATCAGCATCATATGAAGCAAGAATTTTGGCTGTATCTTTACAATTAAATATTGCAGCGCAATGAAGAGGGGTATTTCCAGCATTGTCTTTTTCATTGATATGCGCGCCATGTGAAATAAGAAGTTTAGATGTTCTATGATAATTTAAGGACGCCGCAATATGAAGTGGGGTTTCTCCTTCTTCATTTTTATCATTGATAGCTGCGCCATGTGTGATTAGAAATACGGCTGTTTCTTTGCTACTATTTTTTGCTGCAACATGAAGTGGAGTTTCTCCTTCTTCATTTTTATCATTGATAGCTGCGCCATGTGTGATAAGAATTTCGACTGTTTCTCTGCTATTATTTTTTGCTGCAAAATGAAGTGCTGTTTCTCCATTTGTATCTTTTTCACCAGATGAAACAAGAAGTTCGACTATTTCTTTACTATTATAGAATGCAGCTTTACAAAGAACTGTTTCTCCATTATTATCTTTTTCGCTGATATTTGCACCTTGTGAAATAAGAAATTTGGCGACTTCTTTACTATTATAATATACTGCGTTACAAAGAGCTGTATTTCCACATTTATCTTTATAATTGATATTTGCATGATGTGAAAGGAAAAATTTACAAAGGGATGGAATATCAAACATAGGTGAATAAGAATAACATTTGTTAATATCATTAGTTTGATCAAAATAAACTAAAAATGAATTAAGATCACTATACCATCCGCAATGTTCTAAATCGATCTCTAAATTGTACTCATTCATCAAAAATGTGACATAATCAATGTTGTGTGAAATAATTGCATGTATCATGCAAACTTCGTCTGGTTTTTGATATTTGAAACATTCACTCATGATCTCTTTGTTTCCACCTAAAAATGATAATTCTAGACATCTTTGAGTTATTTCTGAGTTGAATTTCGTTCTTAAGAACTTGAAACAATCAACTGCTCCATGGTAGCAACATAATTCAAGTAATGAATATCCTTCATGAGAATATGGATATAAATCGCTTTTAAGTTTTTGATCTTTATCAAATCCATCGATTCCAGTGAATGTGATGAATTTTTCTTTGTCATTATACATAATTGCTCTGTATATTGTATTTTCTGATGAAATATTTGTGTTCTCTAATTTAATTTTTTCAAAATCAGTAGATTTATCTAGTTTAATTCCATATTCTTTATAAAATAGGTAGTTAGAAATGTCTTCAATATCGGCTACATCTGTAACTTGATAGTCATCAGATATATGTTTCGCAAGTTTCAAATATGGCTTTGCATAGCGATTGTTAAATGGAATGGAGCATAAAATATCTTTTATAATCTTATGAGGCGTACATTTCTTTGATTTAATCAAATTCGCTTTGATCATTTTGTAAATCTTTTTTAATTTTCCTTCTTTTTCTACTTTTAACTGATATAATGCATTATATGAATTGATATAATAATCATACTTACTTTTCAATTTGTTATATTTGTTAATTGAAATGACATTGGCACACATTAAAATTTTAAAAGTAATTTTATTCAAACATTTCATAAAAGAAAACATGTTCATTATATGGTAAAACGCAAATGTGTCATTTTTAAAAATTATTAATGTCCGACCAAAACATTCATCCAAACAAATACAGTGAACTAAGAAATACCCATAAATACTATATCGATATATACAACGTGTTGTATCAGTTGAAAACTGAAAAAGAAGAAGAATTAAAATCGATTTTCAAAATGATCAAAACAGAATTGATTGAATCCAATAAACATCCACCCAAAGATATTATGGTAGACATTTTAAATATCATTCCGTATAACAATCGCTATACAAAGTCATATTTATTTCTTGCCAAACTCTTTTATGATGAATATCATGTGGAAGAAGTCAACGATCTCACATTTACCCAAAGCATCCTGTTTTATAAAGAATATGGGTTTAAATTAAACAAATCTGATGATTTCGGAAAAGATGATTTTAAAAATCTTGATATTCACACAGAAAATACAATATACAGAGCAATTATGTATAATGACAAAGAAAAATTCATCACATTCACTGGAATCGATGGATTTGATAAAGATCAAAAACTTAAAAGCGATTTATATCCATATTCTCATGAAGGATATTCATTACTTGAATTATGTTGCTACCATGGAGCAGTTGATTGTTTCAAGTTCTTAAGAACGAAATTCAACTCAGAAATAACTCAAAGATGTCTAGAATTATCATTTTTAGGTGGAAACAAAGAGATCATGAGTGAATGTTTCAAATATCAAAAACCAAATGAAAAATGTATGGAATATGCAATTATTTCACACAACATTGATTATGTTACATTTTTGATGAATGAATACAATATCGATATTGATTTAGAAATTTGTGGAGATCACAAAAATCTTGAATCCTTTTTAGTTTATTTCGATCAAACTAATGATATAAACAAATGTTTTGTTTATTCACCTATGTTTAATATTCCATCCCTTACCGAATACTTCCTTTCACATGGTGCAAATGTCAATAAAACAGTTGAATGTGGAATAACAGCACTTCATATTGCAGCTTTGTATAATAGTAAAGAAACTGCAGAAGTTCTTATTTCACATGGTGCGAATGTCAATGAAAAGGATCAAAATGGAGAAACCGCACTTCATTTTGCAGCATATGGAGATAGTAAAGAAACAGCCGAACTTCTTATTTCACATGGCGCAAATATCAATGAAAAGGATCAAAATGGAGAAACCGCACTTCATAAAACAGCATATGGAGATAGTAAAGAAACAGCCGAACTTCTCATTTCACATGGTGCGAATGTCAATGAAAAGGATCAAGATGGAGAAACCGCACTTCATAAAACAGCATATGGAGATAGTAAAGAAACAGCCGAACTTCTCATTTCACATGGTGCGAATGTCAATGAAAAGGATCAAGATGGAGAAACCGCACTTCATAAAACAGCAAAATATAATAGTAAAGAAACTGCCGAACTTCTCATTTCACATGGTGCCAAAGAATAATGTTCTTTCATAAGATAATATTCTTTATTTTTTGATATTTTCGAAGATTGATTTGATTATAAATAAAAAAATAATTCAATTTTCCCCTCTGATTCTATACATATTTTTGAATTTTTAGTTTTGTTAATCTTTGATTATTCTTTGAAACTTACAAGAATCTATCATAACTTTACAATCATTTGATGAGAGGTCTCGGAAAAACTCTGCCCTAGTGTGATGTAGCTGTGGTATTTGGTGCACAAAGAGCGAAATGAAATTATCTGAATTTTCTTTTTCTCCTATTTTTATAATTTAAAAAAAGTGACAAATGAATCAATCATCAAACTATCTCTGCAACTTGTTGAAGATATTTAAAAAAAATATATTATTAAAATGAATTCGAATTTAATTTATCAATTTTGATTGATTTTAGGCATATTAATCAAATCTAAAGCATTCATGTGTTTTTCTAAATAGATCACTACAATGAAATTCAAAAGATCAGATGCAACTTTCACATTTTATCAATAATAAGCGCATCAAAGCATACGATATGAAAGTATATTAAAATCCGTGGGGAAAATCCAGCAGAGTTCGATTATGTAGCTTAGTCTTAAAGTTATTAGCATCAACAAAAATTAAAAAAAAAACTTTGAAAGGTCAACTTTTTTTCTATCTAATGTATTTATGCTCATTTTTGGAATTTGATATTTTGGTAAACGGGGTTTTTTCTAGATTAGAATCAATATGATTCCTTTAATTGTTTATTGAGATTAGAATAACTAAAATTCCAAATTCATTCGGATAAATTTTATGTTTTATTTTCATATTTTCAATCTTTTGATCATATATATATACTTGTCTTTAAAGAATAGTAATGGCAAAAACAATTTGGTAAAATTAAAAACAATTTTTTTTTATTCACAAATAAACATATATTAATCTATTTCATTGGGATTCTTACACTCACAGGTTCTTCATTTATGAATGAATTAGAAAATGGGGATCTCGATTTATTGAAATAAGGAGAATTTCTTGGTGTCATTGAATGTGGATCGAATCTCATCTTTGGAGACTTTCCAACTGGAGATCTTCCATAAATTGGTGGTCTCTTAATTGGAGTTGATGTTGATGGAGTGGTAATTGCCGATTTTCCTCTGAAATGTAAGTCAATTCTTAAGCTTTCTTTATCTAGTTTCTCCTTCATGATATCTACCTTCTCTGTTATTACGTCCATATATTGTTGGGCTCTGTTCTTGAATGAAAGCGCAAGATCTGAAATTTCTGGTTTCATAAATTCGCCAAATAATAATGATCCAAAGTTATTAAATGCCTCTGACACTTGTTGTTCTGATATTGTTACATTTTCAAGGCTATCGGCAAGATTATCAATCACATGAATTCTGTTTGCGTTTGTAGGACCAGGAGAAAGTGTTCTCTCAATTGTCATTGATAAGGTACGCAAAAACTCGACAGTTCTCTGGTGGTGAACTTCGTAATTTGATAATCTTTCTGATTTTGAAGAAGCAAGTACTTGTTTTGTGCTTTCTGATATGGTTGTTATCTTAAGATGTTCAATATTAGCATCTTTTTCAAGAATTTCTTGGGATAATCGATCAATTTCATTTTGTAAATTCTTATTCTGAGAAACCAAGCTCTGATTCTGCTTTTTAAGAGCAATGGATACTTCATCTGTCTGTATATCAAGGATTCTAGTTGTTTTAGAACGCTCTTCCTCAAGTTGGGCCTTTAATTCGTCAATTCTTCTTGAAAGAGTAGAATTCTTCGACTGTTCAAATTCAACTTGGCTCTGAAGTGCAGCAGATTTTTCTGATAACTTGATCGAACTGACCAATTTCTCAAGAGTTGCTTCTAAAGCCGGAATAACTTCTTTCTTTTCTGAACAACTTAACAATGAGCAAACAGTTGATGTAAATCTCTCTGATTCTTGCTTTATAGAGAGCTTTTCTGCAGTTAATTGCTCAATTTGTCCATGAATATTATTTATTTCATTTTGAAGAGCTGTTTTTTGTCGTTCTAATGATTCTACATTCTTGTTGAGACCGGATATATTACTATTTAATATGTTAATCTGAGTTCTATCCTTTCTGGTATTGGCATCTTTGACTTCGACTGAAATTCTTAGTTCTGAGTTCTGCTCAATGAGTTCATTGATTTTCTTTGTAAGATCTTCCCTTATTTCTTCATATGATTGTATGTTTTTGTCTTTTTCATCAAATTTTATTTGTAATTCATCTATTTGCTGCTTAAGGTCTTCATTTTGCTTCAAAGTTTGCTCATATAATTCTATTTGATCTTGAGAAAGCTTGCGACCTTCTTCAGATTTCAATGAATCTAATTTATTTTGTAAATTTAGAATTTGACTCTGTAAATTAGCAATTTGAATTTCATATTCAACTGATTTTGCAGATTGGTTTGATTTTTCTACTTGAAGTAAATCAAAATCCTTCTTTAATTGATTAATTTGTTGAATTAGCCTAGAATTCTCTGTTATTAGGTCACCATTATGATGTGTCAATTCGGTAGCGCGATCTGATTCTTTTCTGAACTGGTTAATCTGTATTTGTAGCTTTGAATTTTCGTCTTTTAATATTTTTTGTTCATCAGTAATTTTCTCGATTGTTGAAGCTAAATTTGCGTTTTTCTGTTTGAGTTGAGAAATTTCTCTTACGTAATTCGAAATATCTTGAACATTTGATTCCTGAATTTGAGGCTTTTTTAATTGCTCTTGTAAAAGCATATTTTCGGATTCTAATGTCTGTATATGGGAAGTAAATTCATTCTTTGTGTTGGAAAGTTCTTCTTCAAGCTTTTGTTTTTCGAAAGTTAAATTTTTAATGTTATTTTCATATTCTGCGTTGTTTTTCTCTATGGTATTGACTAATCCTTGATTTTCTGATGACAAATTCTGAATTTGGATGAGATATTCTTCGACGTTATTTTGTTCCTGAAAAACTAAATTAGATTGACTATTCTCTTGTAATATTTCGATTTGGTTCTTCAAAAATTCAATTTCTCTCTTCTGAGATTCGATTTGAAACTGTAAACCTAAAATTTTTTCTTCAGAGATAATTTTAGAGCCAGTTTGACCGGATACGACATCACGAAGTTCCTTTTCTACCTCAGCAGCTATTGAAGCGAAAGCCCTTACTTTGGCTTCGCCTTCAAAATTTGCCGCCATTTTGCATATAAAAAAAATTTAAACGTGATTTTTCTGATTTTATTATCGGCGTGTCGCACCAATAAAAATTCAAATTCTAGAGCAAATACAGTATTTGTGATAGTATAATATGTTTTTTTCTTACTATTATGCATGCCAATTAGATCATTTCATCATATAAATTACGTGTTTCTATAATTTAGATTCATTTCTTTCAAGAACTACATTTTAGTGTTGCACTATTGGAGTTTAGATGGTCTCAAGAACATCAGAATTCTAATGTGAAATCTTTCTTTGATTATTCAACATATATGTATATTTTTCCTTAAATACAATTCATAATCACGCTTATTTCAAAGAAAACACTAGTGTATGCTTATATTATATATTTGTTTGGGCACTTGCTGCTAAGCATTTTTCAAATATCAATATCTTTTATAAATTTCATATTTCTCAGTATTGTGATATGTAACATCTATGAAAATATGTTGATATTCTTCGGTATCGTGATATGTAACATATATGACTAATAGCACACCAAATTAAATGTACATTTTACCAGTTGGCAAACAACTGCAAAAAAAATTTTTCAAAAAAAAAACGATAATTTTCAAAAAAAAATTAAAAGATGGCCAGTATTACTCAACAGATGAAAGAACTTGTTCGTAAGATCACTTATATGTTCTACGAGAAAGAAAAAGTCATGATTATGGAAGGATTTCTCATGTTTGATGAGCCAATGACTTTAAAAGAAATTGGTGAAAAATTACACCTTCAAAAGAAGATAATTGATGACTGCATTGGTATTTTGCGTCGTGATGGTATGATTTCCAGTAAGCAAACGCTTGATCTTGAAGGCTGGGATCTTACAAAAAAGCCAATCAGTCAAATGTCAGATACCCAAAAGAAAAATCGAACTGTTTATTACTATGCCATCGATTACAAAGTATTTTGTGACTCAGTACGTCTTAAAATCCAACTTGTAAAGAATCATCTTAAAAAATTATGCGGAAAGGCCGATAACATCTCCTACAGATGCGAGTCTTGCCATACAACATTCAATTTTATAGAAATTAATCGCTTATCCGAGTATTCCAACTTTACTTGCCCTGAATGTGGTGGAACACTCAAAGATTTGGATAATTCCGATGAAGTTAATGCGAATAAGAGGAAATACGAAGAATTTTGCCATCTTACTGATGATATTATAAGACAAATCACAAATCTTGTTTCCAACATGGTTTTTGAGGACGACTTTGACTTCAGAACCAACCCAGCGAAATTGATGACTTTGGAGAGCTACAACGCCAAGGAAAAGTACATTAAAGAAAATGCCGAATCTGGAAAGATTATAAGGGCCGAAGAGAAGGTAGATACAGACAAACAGAACGTCGTCGATGTTAAGACGGTCGATATTGGTCCAGCCATTGATGATTCCATAAAAGACCTTTTCACAAGGAATACCCAAGCCACAAAGAAGACAGAACAAGCTGAGGAGCAGGAACCCGAAATTGTCATTGATGGCCAGGTATTGAAGAAATCTGATGTTACAGAAGATTTCATCATTAATTACACAGGATCAACGGAAAATATGAAGAAACTCGAAGAGTTTCATGAAAAATACTGTCAATAAAAATTATTATACATGTTTTAATTTCCTCTCAATTTAAGGTTAAATTTCCAAGCATATTCACGCCCGTATTCTTCATTTTGAAAGTGTGTAGAATATGGTAAATTAGAAATGTAAACAAAACAAAATTATATGAAAAATAAATAAAACTAACTTATGTAAGAACATTATTCTTTGGCGCTACGCGAAATGAGAAATTCGGCTGTTTATTTTCTATTTCTATATGCTACATCATGAAGTGATGTTCCTCCAAGGTGATCCTTTTCATTGACAATTGCACCATGTAAAATAAGAAGTTCGACAGTTTCTTTTCTATTATACCAAGCTGCAAAATGAAGTGCGGTTTCTCCATTTTTAATCCTTTCTGACATTAGCACTAGTGAATTAGTAAGGAGACTTTTTCGATTGTTGTACTTATTTTAATAGGTGTTTATGAAGTGGTTTTTCGAGCACTTTGAATTGTTCTATGTTTCTATTGACTATTCGACTAGTGATATGATAGAACATGTCGCTTTTACTTTACTATATATTTGCAGGTGGGCAATATTAGTTGGCTGTCTTCTGCATATAGTTGTTTTTTGTTTGTAGTATGTTGCACGCAGTGATGAAGTAGTTCGTAATGAATGATTGATTAACATGGCAGTGAAGTATAGACGAAAACATTTGTTTATATATATAGTGGTTTGAGTGAGAATAAAATATTAAAAGTGGATTCAATTATTTGTGGATCTCCACAAATTAAGTAAAATCGTTGATATTTTCAGTACGGATAATTATTCATCTAAAAATGTACTAATTGCAATGTTGTTGTGAAATAATAGTCATAGTTCTCATTCATTTGTTCATTTTGGTTTTTTGATTTGATTTAAACTCTTGTATCTTCATTGGTGTATTCGCGCTTGTATAAAGATTAATATATTCATAAGGAATCTTGAGTGTGGTCTATTATTGTTCGTGAGTCTGTATAGAACTTTGTTACTTAAGAACTTGAAAAATCGAACTTGCTCCATGGTAGCAACATATTTTCAATGTAAGAGAATCCTTCATAAGAATGTGTTATATTCGCTTTTAGTTTTTTGATCTTTATCAAATCCATGAGATTTCAGTGAATGTCTGATGAATTTTTCTAAGTCATTATTCATTTGGGTGTATTTGTTCTGTGTGAATTTCAAGAATTTTCAAAATACTTTTTATGAAATCAAAAATTTTGTTCTATTTTAATTCCATGTTCTTTATAAAACATGAGGATTGGAGTAAATCTTGGATCGACGACTTCTTCCACATGATATTCATCAATAAACAGTTTGGCAAGAAATAAATATGACTTTGTATAGCGATTGTTATAGGGAATGATTTTTATGTCTTATATATATTTTGGGTGGATGTTATTGGATTCAATCAATTCGTTTTTGATCATTTTGAAAATCGATTTTAATTCTTCTTTTTTCAGTTTTCAACTGATACAACGCGTTGTATATATCGATATAGTATTTATGGGTATTTCTTAGTTCACTGTATTTGTTTGGATGAATGTTTTGGTCGGACATTAAAAATTTTTAAAAATGACACATTTGCGTTTTACCATATAAAAGTTGGTAAATTTAAACTTTTCCGACGTTTTGTCAGGGGCGCGAAGCGACCCAAAAATGTCGGAAAAGTGTAATTCTCAGATATATGATTATTTTTGCTTTTAATGCCGAACAGCATTTGAATCAAAAATAATCATATGTCAGAGAATTTTTTTCTAGCTTATATCGGCGCGCAGCGAAGCTGCGCGCCGATAGAACGCGCTATATATAATACAAACTTGCTGCACTTTTTTCGCCGTCTTTAATTAAATCAAATTAGCTATCTAAATTTCATATTTTCGTGACTTATTTTTGACTAATCGTTTTTAAACTAATATCATATATCAATTTTAGTTATATTGTACTGTGGTTTGATCTATTTAAATCGCCGAAAATTCAATGATCAAATAATTTCAATAATAAATCATGCTCAAAATTCGATTCTAAGCAGTTAATTTTATTATTTATCCTATGAGATATCATGTTCAAAATATATGAATTAATTTCATAAATCACTTCGAAATGCTGGACTGCTTGTTTTTTTTTTAATTAGGAAAATAATAACCATAAAGATTTCGAATTAGGTCGATGGAAAATTGAGAACCTCGATGAATACTTTTTGACACTGTCAAAAACTTTGAAAGGAACAAAAATTTTCTAGTGTCAGAAAGTTTATAAATGTATACTTTCTGACGAACAGACCCTCATAAAGTACTCAAACCTCTCCGCACCGATAGAATTGGCTAAAAATTATAGAATTCATTGCAAATAACAAAATACCTCTCCAAACCTCACTTTGATTGATTGATAGTATTTCCACAATTCGTGTTAAAGGTATTAAATTATTTCCAGAACTTTAATAAACGAATTTTCATGCATCATCAAACCATATAATAGGCAATAACCAATGTTATTATATTATAAAGGTATCAAATATGAATGCTTCCAACCTACAATTGAAGACGAAGAAGAAATTCTGAATATCTATTCAACAGTGCCATAAATGGTGGTTTTTAATTTTGACACTTTTTTGTCATAATTTTACCTTCAAAAATGTATCAAACAAAGGAACTTGACCTATATTATGCATTTTCAAGAACAAAATATCAGAGAGAATTTACACAAGGCCAAAATCCGGTCGTAGACTATGTACATAAGACATTTTTAGAGACCCCAATCCCAGAAACACAATATTTACATGTAATCGAAAAAGCAACAGAAGCTCCAAAGCCACCAGAACCTAAGGTTGAGAAACCCAAACCAGCTCCTGCCCCAGAACAAGCTGCAAATCAAATGGAATCTATCATCGCTAAAATTAGAGCAGCTCAAGGACTTACCGGTGAGTCAGAAGGACCCAAGAGAGGTGTGTATGTCTCTCCGTTTGATAACAATCCTGTTCCTACACCTTTAATGAGAGAAAATCATAATGGAACAAATATCGGGGATCCATTTGGTGACGATAATGAAATTGAAGATGAAGAAGATGAAGATAATTAAGATTATTCTCAAAGAAATCAGGAAAAGATTGCAATTTTTTTTTATTTATTTATGTTTTAAGAAACATGCAAAAGAAAAGCACGATCTAAAGTATTCTACAACTATTATGTTTGGAAATTAAAACAAAAAAAAGAAAATATAATATTTTTCAAAAAATTCCTTTTTTTTACCTTTATTATTGAAATGTATACTTATATCGAAAAGTTTTATTTATTTCTCGAATAATTAAAGCAATTTACTTCTTGTTGTGGCCAAGCTTAGCAAGGATTTTCTCGCGGCCAGCACGGCGGCGTTCGATGAGTTCCTTACGCTGCTTATCCATCTTGAGCTTTGTGATAAGGCAGTTGGATGGGTGAACAGAAACATGAACTGTCTGACCATTGAGCTTTTCGCGTGTGAAGGAATCGACAACGATGCGGTTCTCAGAAAGCTTGACGGCGATAACCTTGCCCTCACGGCCGGCGAACTTGCCAGAGTTGATGGAAACTTCATCATCTCTGCGGATTGGGAGTTGCTTAACACCATGTGTTTCAGCCTGCTCCTTGTTGAGCTTAGCAGAAAGCTGGCGGTGCTTGTCATCCTTTGTAGCATTGAAGAAAGCCTTTCTTGTCTTCTTGGCCTGGGATGAGAGGAATGGGTTAGTTTTAACCATGAGAAAAAGGACGACCAAACCGCTTCATTCTTTTTCACTCCTTTTTGATGGCGATCTATAATGGCATATAGATATACATTATTTTTTGTTATGAGTTTTCTCAAAAATACCAACTTTCAAATTATAAATTTATTAAATTTCGCCTTTTTCCATTGATTTATTAAAATATATCAAATATTTCAACATTAATTATGTTTACAATAGATTCCTAAACTATGCGATAAAGAAATTTCGAAATTGTTGAAAAATAGCTTCAATGTAATAAAACTAGTAATATTATGAGGCATTTCTCATAATTGAATGTTATAATATGATCTTTTCTATGTTTAACATCGATAAGGAAACTTTGCATAGGAAGAAGGATTTAATTTTGATTTAGATTGTTTTGTAAACCACATAAATACATAAATAAACAAATTATATGGGAGTGAATAGCAATGACAAGTCAAGTTCATGAAAATATTGCAAAACTATGTAGGTTACATTGGTTATAATTTAAAAATACATTGGTATCAAGCGTTGCATTTAAAATGAAATTTCGTGAATTGATGCATGATTGTTGATTCGTTTCCTAATGTGGAACACATTATTTGTTCATTTATAAAACAGTCATCTTTGTAAAACTATAAAAGTCTCTATTTTATTGAATTAAATGCATTCTCGTTTTGTTTTGATAGTTGAATCCATGATTTCATCAAATTGAAGAGAAGATAAGGCGTCTGATATTCGACTTTTCATGAGTTCATGTTTTTATTGGAAAATTAGCTATTTTCATGTGAATTAAGATATTCAAAATTGTGGATCTCTTGTTGACTTTTAAGTCTTTGATCTCGAAGAGAGATATCACTTATATATGAACATCTCTGTATTATATATCTTTAACGGCAGATGTTGCTCTCTAGCTAAGTTCATAACCACTATTGTGACTATGATGAATAAGAAAATGATTATTTCCTTATGAAAATTAATTGTTTTCAAAATAAAAAAAAAAAAAAAAAAAAAAAAGGTAGTGGGGTTCCAGGCACTTCGTGCCTCTAGCCCCCGTCACTTTTCTGTCACTTTCAGGAAAAAAATTTTTATTATATAATTATTAACAATATTCTTATAATTTAATTTGACAATTTACGACCAATTAGAATTACCGTAATGAATTCAACCCGTACCTTTCTTTGGAAATAAGAGTAGATGTAAAGTATCTATTGAGAGATTTAAGAAACTACCGAATGGTCTAACATTTGTAACTTGTTCGGTGAAGTTCTATATATCCATTTGTGCCATACAATATTTCTGACTCAAAGATTATATGCAATGACTTCGACAACATATAGACATCTCAAACATATACCAGACACAAACAAAATATTGAAAGAGTTAAAAGAAAAATACCTATAGGTAAGATGGAACGTATACCATTAGATAAGAAAAATATGTCAGAGAGTTTTGAAAAGGCAGAGTATAATTGACTGGATAGTATATCTGCTAGACATATATAAGTGGTGCTATAAGAGTTCATGACATTGAAACACTTATGTCAAAAGTTTTATATCTTAACTATACAAATGTTTTCAAAGAGAACATAGAAAATATATTGAGGGTATAGAGTTGTGAGACTATTGGACAGAGTTGTATGAAAAATAAAGACAAGGAAAATGTTTTCTTTATAGTGGACCCGCCGTTCTATAACACAATGGATTTCAATACCAAGTAGACTGGACTTTGAGAGACTCTTTAGAAATTTAGACGTTTTACATAACCATCCATGCTTTACTTTACATCCGATAAAATGTGTTTGGAAAGTGCTGAGATGGTTAGAGGACATACATGACTATGAGTTTAGATACGATAAGATAGAATATGAGAGAGGTCCTATAAACTGGAGAAAGTGTCATAACAAAGAAATTTTACTAGTAAGTAATGTGGTTTGAAATAGGACTACTTGTTTTAGGTTTTTCCATTGTGTCATTTACTTATTGACGTGGCAGAAAGATATAGAGAATATGAAGATGAACCAATGCCTGCAAATGTTCAGAATATGTACTCGTAAGAAGATATTTTTATCTAATAATAAATGGACGCACAGAACTTAGCGAATGCACAGCAACCTGGACAACCAAACCCAGAGAATATTCCAAATGAAGTTAGAATACAAACTGCAATGGCAAACTATGGTCAAGTGCCAACAGATGTACAAATGCAAACTGCCATGTCAAATGACGCTGGGTTAGGTTTGCCACCATGGTATGCAAATATGAGATGGAAAGAGTTTTATACAAACCTGAAGTGGGATTAACAACTTATAAGATGACGCGAACACAGGAGTTGACCCAGAATATTTTCTACCAGAGGAGAAACAGAATGTATGAGCTCCAGTTAAAGAATGCTATGGAACAACAGGAAACGTAGAGACTAGGCGGACATATAGATTTTACATATAGTAAAATGGTTTCTTTATAGTATATGGAAACTTCTTTCGAAATGTTGGAAGAGTAATGGAATGGAATAAAAACCGTAGGAAGAGGAATTTGGAACGGTGTCAAAATAGGTAAAAGAGGTAGGTCATCGTTGGTATTATATAAACCCTGAACAGAAGAAGCAAGCTCTGTTATACACACCCTGAACTGCACCACAGTCTAGTTGGCAACCAAATCAACACCTCAACCGTATTAAAAAGTTATATTTTTACCGTTCGATAGTATTGTAATATAACTAAGTTCTAAGTAAAACGCATGGTATAATGGAATTATTCTTTTCTTCCATCTGTAGTAAACCATACTTGAAAGTCTGAAATACTCCACTGGTGGTTGTATAACTTTGTAGGTTTTTCGTAAATCATTTGCCAAGCATAAGAAAGAGTTTTGGGCGCCAGAAAATGAAGCATGAACAATAAGCAGCTGGGTCGAAAACATCTTTAATAAATATGTGTCATCTCTTGAATATCGACTGTAAATATTTGCTAAAGGAAGTTCGACTTTCTGATTTAACATTCTTTGCAAATAAATATGACATTGCAGTGAATTCTGTATATATTTGTTCGTCTTTCTTTGGATTGTCTTCGTAGATTTGAAATGACACTTGTGAATTTTGTTGTCATATACATTTTCACATAAAGTGTGCTCTCGGTATTGCATATTCATCAGCATATTTTGCATAACATGAATTTATTTTATCTTCTATATTTTTTAACGCAGAGTCTGTAGAGAAGATGAAAGGTCAACTTGTATTAGCTCAATTTCTTCCACATTTTCGTTTCCCTTCAGATATATAATCTATATGAAACCTTACAATAAATGGAAAACTTTTATCTTCTACAGACACAAACTTCATTCTACGAAAGCATATTTTTGTACGATGGGTCTCTTAACCATCTTAACGGGTAGTCAAAACGATAGCCTTCATGCTTTACGGTTCTGTCTCAAACTTTTGACCGACATTAGTAAAAGTTCATCTAATGGTTTAGTTTAGCAACTCTTGAATTTTCTTTTTCTATTGAAAGCATATTTTATCTAGAATAAAAATGTCGAAAGAAACAGCGTCTATGAAGAAATAAAACACAACGACAACTCATTTTGCAAGCTCTAAATAAGAACACAACAACTTTTCAAACTATTCTAAGATATGAGTCATTGAAAGAAGGAAACTTAAAACTGACATTAAACCCAATGACAGATGAGTTTCTATTTCAAGACAAATAGGAACCATATACTGTTTGTATAAATCAACAAAAGAACTTTAAACGAGAACCATATAGATGAACTTCTTTTGAAAGCAGAGTTTGACAACAAAGCTGACAAAGAGTATGTCATTGAAAAAGTTCAAGAAGAACATGACAGAGCAGATGCAACATATGCAAAAAGCAGATTTGACAACAAAGCTGACAAAGAGTATGTCATTGAAAAAGTCAAGAAGAAATGACAGAGAGATGCAACATATGCAACAAAAGCAGATGTTGACAACAAAGCTGACAAAACATATGTTGACAATAAAATGTCAAGTGAAGTGACAAGAGCTGAAAACGAATATTCTAAAAAAGACTCATAACACATACATTGCAAATATTACAAACTTACAAGAAACCTTAAACAGGAAAGTGACGTTGACATACACATACCATTCAAATATTACAAACTTACAAGAAACCTAAAACAGGAAAAGTGACGTTGGACATACACATACCATTGCAAATATTACAAACTTACAAGAAACCTTAAACAGGAAAAGTGAGTTGGACATACACATACATTGCAATTATTACAAACTTACAAGAACCTTAAACAGGAAAAGTGACGTTGGACATACACATACATCTTCTGAAATAACAGACTTAAACGTTAGCCTTGAAAAGAAAGCA